ATATATATATATATATATATATATATATCATCTATTTACAAACTTGTCTCTCTCACCAGTGTGTTGTTGGAGACCCAATGTCTCGAATCTAGATTTGTCTACTCAGCATCTCCACTTGCATGTCTATTGGGCATCTGTCCAAACTGAGCTCCTTCATGTCCCCCTCCCCGCCCCGACACCCCAAACCTGTCCATTTCAGGCAATGGCAACTTGATTGGCGCAGTTGTCAGGCTGAAGCCTTGGCATTAGCCTGGCTCTGCTTTCTCCCTCACAGCAAACATCCAGTCAGTCCATGAGCAGGTCCTTGGCTCCACCTCCAGAACATGCCCAGAATCCGACCCCTTCTCACCTCCTCTCCCCTGACCACACTGGTTCAGGCCTCCATCCTCTCCCCAAAGATTGTTTCAGTAACTTGCTCACTGGTATCCCTGCGATAGCGTTGCAATCTTCTCAACACAACCGCGATGCTGTTAACATCTATGTTAGATTATCTCACTCCTCTGCTTTACAGCCACCAATGTTTTCCCATCTCAGTCAGGGTCAAAGCCAAAATCCTCCCGTAGCCTGTATGACCCTGCACCTGCTGGCCTCCAGTTGCCTCTCTGACCTCATCTCCTATCCTCCCCTCATGCTCCCCGAGCCATCGCTGCCCCTGGCACACCAGCCTCCCTGTAGCTCCCTAAACATGCCAAGCTTGCCACCTTTGCCAGCTCTCTGTCTGGAATGCTTTTCCTGATACCTTGGCCCGCAAGGCCTAGAGCAATGCCTTTCACGTGGTGGGTGTTCAGTAAGCATCTGGATGGATGGATGGATGGATGGATGTTGTGTTAATGAGGTAACTTTGGGAAAGCACCTAAGGATGGTGGCTGCTTGCCAGAAGAACTAACCATGTGATTAGGGATTGGAACTTTCAGCCCCCATTCCCTGGCCTCCGGGGAGAGTAGAGGGGCTGAGGTTGAATCAATTGCCGATGGCCAATGAGTTCATCAATCATGCCTATGTAATGAAGCCTTCCTTTTAAAAAAAACAAAAAACAAAAAAAGGGGGTTTGCTGAGCTTCCAGGGTGGGGTGCCAGCACGCTCCCACGTGCCACCGGGCCAGGCCCAAGCTCCATGAAAACAGATGCTCCTTTGTTCAGGAATACACCCTATGGACCTGCTCATTTGCCTATTGATTCATATCCTTTCATATCCTTTGTAATAAATCAGTAATCTAGTCAGTAAGAAGTTCTACTGAGCTGTTCTAGGAAATTAATCAAATCTAAAGAGCGGGTCATGGGAACCTCTGATTTGTAGCCAGTTGGTCAGAAGCACAGGTAACAACCTGGACTTGTGGTTAGTGTCTGAAGTGGGGGTTGTCTTGTAGGATGAAATGCTTCATTTGTGGAATCTGATGCTATCTCTGGGTAGATAGTGTCTGAGTTGAGTTGAATTCTCAGACACCTTCTTGGTGTCCGAGAATTACTTGGTGTGGAAAAACACACACACACACACACACACACACACACACACACACACACGTTGGAGTTGGGTCCAGGACAAGAGACTCGGCTGCCTGTGTTGTCAGCCGCTGCTAACATCACGGGAATGGTCTTTCGTGAAAACGTCCTTATCCTTCTCCCACTGTGACTTCATTCAGTGACAAGGGGGAGACTCTGTTCATTCTAGTGATTAAGAAGCTAAATTAAGACCAACAGACTATGAGCTGGTCCTCTTTTTAAAAAGTTTTTAAATTTTTTTTTTAAAGATTTTTATTGGGGAATTGGGGAGATGGGAACAGTGCTGGGGAATTGGGGGAAGGGGAACAGACAAGTTGCTGTCCTTTTGTTCTTCAGTCTAGTTGTGGAGGACATTGCTTCACTGGCCCAAGTTAGCACCATCATTGCGCTCTTCCCGGGCGAGGCAGATCAGTCGCCGGCTTCTGGACAGCCGCTCACGCTGGCTGCTGGCTACACACGGTAGCCCATGGCAACCCACTGCAACAGGGGCTGCAGCCTACGCCGTCGCCGTCGACTCACAGCAGCCCAGCTCCAGGTTGAGCTGCTGTTCACCATCTTAGCTGTAGAGGGCAGTGTCACTGGCCCTCATATGTGGGATCCGAACTGGGGCCTTCTGGCGTCCCAAGCCAGTTCTTAACCAATGTGCCACTCTGCCAGCCCAAAAGTTCTTTAATTTTGATGTGAATATTTATTATTTATTCTTACCATTTCATAAGACAGCAATTCACTTGAAAATACAGGAAGGCAGAAAGAAGGGAAAAGTAACCACCAGCTTGAGCAATGAACTCCACGACAGAGATCCCATGCATGGCGTGATTATAACGAGAGGTGGGGTGAGGGCTGGGTGAGAAGGGGAGGGGGTGGGGTAGCAGAGTGTAGCTTATTTTAAAAATAAAGAGTTGGGGTTTTTTTCATTTTAATTATAAATGTATTATGTCGTTATATACAATTTGGAAAATATACATGTTCTAAACATGTCCCAGGCCCCAGTGTAAATTGACATGAATATTTAGGTCATTTTGTACTCTAACCCCATCTATGCACACAGAAAACCTGGTCTCTTGCAAATTGGGTCCCGTCCCAGGTATTTCTGGAGTCCCAGGGTCTCCTTCTATCCTCATGGCTGGGGCATCGTTGCAAGCAGAAGTGTTTCTACCCCGAGTTTCCTTAGTTGAAAACTTGCATTCTACCTCTGCTAAACCAAGGTCCCACGGAGACAGCTTGACCAACTAGGGCAAAAGGCAAAGGAAGTAGTGTACTCACTTCTGTGGCATCACTGGGATCTCACAGCGGCTTCGCCTGAGCACCCAGATCTCACAGGGCTGGGAGAGGTAGTTCTCTCCACTCTACATGCTGAGCCTGTCTGTCTGGTTCACGTCTTGGCCTGGCCTGATGCCTGGCACAGAGGTGACCAGTACCACCTGTGCATTGATTGACTTGCTAAATGGTCCCTCTGGCTGGAAATGCACACAAGAAGTGTGTAGAGGGACCGACAGGTGAGGTGATTGACAAGGGCACAAGCCTGGACAGCATGTCCAGTCAGTGGAGCAGAAATGGAGGCACCAGCTTCTCTCACCACCAGGGACTCCCTTTCCTCCCCCCACAGCCTGCCCACTCCAGGAGTAAGTGCGCCTGTTAGGGGCTCCCATAGCAAGCACCCTGTCCTCTTCATGTCATACCATTGCCTCTCCTCCTTGGTAATGGCTTATCGGGCGCCTGTCCCCCTGCTGCCCCCAAGTGCCATTAGGCTGACTTTTCTCATGATGTCCTCAGTTCCCTGCAGGGACCTGGCCTACGCTTGTGCTCCAAGACAGGCAAAGGAAAAGGTGGGCAAGGCCCTTTGGAATAAGAATCTTAGTGTCTCATAGCTTACTCTACCCACCCACCCCCAATCTGCCCCTGGTTATTAAGAAGCTAGAATATGTATCCAAAGTGTAAAAGCACATGAATGCAGTGGAGTACGATCCTTTAAAACTCCCAAAGTCTGGGTCCTACCCCAGATCAATGAAATCACAGTCCCTAGAGGTAGGACCCACCCCCTCATTGGTGTGTTTCTAAGCTTCCCAGGTGATTCCAAAGTTCTCGAACTTGTTGCAATGATGCTGCTAACCTTTTCTGATATCAGGGGGATTATTCATGATGAATTTGTACCAACTGGACAAACAGTTAACCAGGTTTTCTATTTGGAAGTGCTGAAAAGGCTGCGTGAAAAAGTTAGAAAACCTGAACTTTTTGTCAACAATTCATGGCTCTTGCATCACGACAATGCACCAGCTTACACGGCACTGTCTGTGAGGGAGCTTTTAGCCAGTAAACAAATAACTGTATTGGAACACCCTCCCTACTCACCTGATCTGGCCCCCAAAGATAAAGGAAATATTGAAAGGAAAACATTTTGATGACATTCAGGACATCAAGGATAATACGACGACAGCTCTGACGGCCATTCCAGAAAAAGAGTTCCAAAATTGCTTTGAAGGGTGGACTAGGCGCTGGCATCAGGGCATCACCTCCCAAGGGAAGTACTTCAAAGGTGATTGTAATGATATTCAGCAATAAGGTACGTAGCACTTTTTCTAGGATGAGTCCGTGAACTTAATTGTCCGACCTCATACAGACACATTTGGGAACAATTGCTTAACCCTTGGCCCCTGTCACAGGCCTCACTTCATTAAAATCTGTCCAATGAATGAATGAATTAAATGAATGAATTTAGGAGCCTCACAAAGTCTTCTGTGTCCCTTTCCAGGGGCTCAGGCAGTGGCCATGCTACCCAACATCATCCTACCGCCTCTGAATTAAGGAGAAAATTTGAAATTCTCCTTCATTTTCCTGGTAGTCATTTTCATTTTTTACGTCTTGATATTTAATGTCTCTCAATAAGACAGTCTAGAAATAGACACTATTTTTCAAATACAAATCCTTTCCTAACTCATTTGAAATGTCACCTTTGTCATGAAATGGCACACTCAGGTCATTCAACACATATCTCTGGCACACCTGCTATGTGCCAAGCACTGCCAGATGCTGGGGACATGTCCCTGCCTGCCCAGAGGCTGCAGTCTACAGAAAGACAGACAGTGAACACCTATCCAAACCAACACGTCATTTCAAAAATGTGTGGTCAGCGCGTTGAGAGAAAAGTGCAGGATGCGGGAATTACCAGGAAGGACCTAATTTAAGCGAGGGCTGTGGGACAGTCTTCCCTGACAAAGGGCAGTTGTGCTGTGTTTCCATCTATGTGCCTACCTAGTTAGCATCCCCCTTTGCCCTTTGTCTCCAGGGCAGCTTTGTGAAGACCACAACCATATCTGCCCTGCCCCCTTCCTACCTCCTGGTTCAGTAAGTGGCTGCGCTATAGCCCTGCCTGTAGATGCCTGTTGACGGCCAGCTCATAGCGCTCGGTCAGCCAGCTCAGCTCCTCCTCCAGCTCCTGGACCAGTGTCCTGAGTTCCTCTGCTGTCTCTGCCCTGGCCCCTTCCTCCAAGTGCTTGTAGTTCTGCAGAAAGCTTTTTACATCTTGCACAAGGAAGTAGCCAGCCCCAGCAACTCCCATCATCCGGGCACCACTGGTCACGGTCAGAGCTGGGCCCTCAACGGCTCTCTGAACCTCTCTGGCTCTCCAGAAGGGCACGCGGCCTGTGGTTACGAAATTCCTGACCTTAGCCATGAAACCACAGTTGGCTTGAGCCGTCTTGTAGGCATGAAGTTGCCTGATGCTCCTGACGACGCCAACACACTTCTGAACACAAACCCCAGCAGCCCCTCCAATGTCTTTGGACTCCAGTGTTGTTGGAATCGCCACCAGTCTGCCAGCTCTGTCTCTTGCTGCTGAATCGCTTCTATTTTCCAAGACATTTATGAAAATATTGGTGACAGCAGCTGCTACCCCCAGGCCCTGCCCAGCTGCTGAGAGCATCAGACTCCCTCCTCCTGTCACAGGTGCCAGGGCCACACCCAGGATGGTCATGGCCGCTGACACAGCACCTGAGGAGCTGGCTACCAGGCTGGTCTTGGTGAGTTTCTTGTGGGTCGCGTCAACTTGGTCTGCAATGGTGTTAAGTTCTTCGATAATCTTTTCCAGCTTATACTTCTGCAAGGGATAACGTAAGAGAACTAGTTCATCCTCGGACAGATTTCTGTCCAGCGTGAACTCTTCCGCAAGTTCCATCAGCTCTTCAAACAGGGTGTCGTCCAGCGTCATACCTGGGGAAAGTCCACATCACGTGATCACTTTTCCAACTCTGGAACAGGCTCACCAGGGAGGCTAAAAACTTCTAGGTCATCTGAGTTCTTGAATACATTCAGGGAACAGGGCCCTGGGAATGGAGGTACAAGTCGGGAGCAGCATGACAGAGGGTCGCTCTCAGGGCCTGCACCTCTAGGTGGCCGTGTTGCTTATGGCCGGAGCACAGCTAAAGCAATCCCTCTGCTTGTCGGACTGGCTTACTATCCCATTCACTATGTGTGGGTACTGAAATGATGAATAAAACCTAACTGAAAAGCATTACAGACTTTTGTCACTCAATCTTTTCTCAGTAAATATATATACATAATTTGTACATATGTAATGGATTGTGAGCAATTCTACTCTGGGAAATAGAGTTCTAAGAGCCTAGAGAGGACAGGCCTCAATTTTCATGTTTAAAGGGGAATCTACCTGGAAACGGTGGTTGCTTTTGGGGAGGGGAGCAGGGGAGCTGGGGGGAAGGTTTCAGGGAGACATACTTGTTACTGTTTGCCCCTTTGTTCCTAAGTTTTATATCATGTGCATGTATGAGACTCTCCCCCCTCCCCCACCACCAAATTAATAAAATATCCTATACTTCTAAAGAAAAAGGTGGGGGCCCCCAATGAGACACCCAAATATCATCTCTCCCATAAGGGAGGACTCATTGTTTGTTATTGAGTTTGACAGTGTTGTGTATTTTGGAAACTGAAAGTAGATTTCTAACAAAAGGGTGGCCAGGCTTGGAAACCACAGGTTCTACTCCGCCCTCTTGTTAAACAGGCGAGTAGGAAAAATGCATAGTCTTGAGACAAGACGACGAAGGGAAAACATACAACTGAGAAAATTCTCTCCATTTACTCAAATTTCCCCTGTATTTTGGGGAAAAAAGACCACCATTATTTCATTTTCTTGTGGGATCAATTTGGTCCTACACCTGGAACACCAGAGCTCTACAGAGTCTTAGTTTGAGAATCACTGTTCTAAGTAAATTTGTCTTAAGGGATCTGGGGTCTCCAAAGTAGACACCATTGGGTTGTGCGGATGCTGCAGTCAACTTCCTACAGCACGAAACAGTGTCTGACTTGTGTGACCCTCTGTCCCTGTCTTCCAAATTGAGCATCCACCGTGAACTGGGCCATGGGTTTAAGGATATTGGAGAGTGGGTCTCTGGGAGAGAAGGCCAGTAGGAAAACTCTGTTGAGACCAAGCAACCCCAAGTCCTCAAAGGAGCTATTGACAACAGCTTTAGAGTCTCTGCTCTCTGGGCAAAGCCATCAGCAGCCTCAGGGAGACCAGCCAACTGACCCCACCCAAGGGAAACAGAAACAGGAAGGGCCTTCTGACATCCTTCCCTATTGTCGTCACTCTTTTAAAATAAAGGCTTAGTCAGAAGTTTCTTTGGGACATCTCTGTATACCTTGGCATTCAGCCCCCCTCCAACCTAAATCTTAGAGCATGGGATGTGAGGCCTGGAAGGCTCACCAAGATCACCTGGTACATAGCGGGCAAAGAGGTGCCAACCCCCCTGCCATTGTTGGGAAAGGCGTCTAGACCATTGTCACAGGAAGAATTGAGAGGCTGCATCTAAGCCCTTTGAGAAAGAGCACTGCAATTGACCTCATGCTTTCTGTAGGCCCGGCCCAGAAGATATGGGAGCCTGCCACATTTTCACCATCGAGTCCATCCCCGTCTTTCACAGAGGAGAAAGCTGGCCCCAAGGGCGACGTGACTTACCCTAGATTACAATCCAGTTAGTGATAGAGTCCGGGAGAGAACCTAGGACTCCAGCTTTCTGGAAGCCTCTAGTCCACCTCACCCCTGAGAAAGGAAGTGCCATCTCTCTGCCTTCAGCAAAGGAGGGAGGGCTAGCATGTGCACAGGCACACTGGATGTGACCTGACTTAATCCCAGTCAGTTCATCAGCCCGCAGCAACTGTGAAGAGCGTTGCTTGGAGCTGTCTCGGGATTAACGCAAGCTGTGGGATGGGATCTAAAGCGTGGAAGAGGCCCGGTCACAGCGGAGGGAGGGCTGGGCCAAGGACGTGGGTATACAGGATGGCTTGCTTTTGACCTGAAAGGGCAGGAAACTCCAATTGGCGTGATTTCTGCAGATTTCATCATGTCAGAGCTTGAGGCAGCACTGACACTCTTTTTACAGAAGTGTCTAGATACTTCAGCAAGAATGAGTACAGCTTATGTTGAGCAGCAGAATCTATTATGAGTAGAATGCTTCAGCGGAGCTCTGTTGGAGAGTCTGGAATGCCCAGGCAGAGGCGATGGACAACCAAGGCCCAGAGTTTGCATCTCGAGGCAAAAAGTTGAAGAGTATGATCTTGATTTTTCAAAAGTATTGTAATAGGGCCAAGGAAAAATCCTGGAAGGAGCTACACTCAGCATGCTACTTTCATAATAAAAACCAATCCCATAAAAACAACTTAATAATAAGGCATCTTCATTTCTCATTCTTTTATCATGATAAAATCTCCAACTTGTACCGTAAGGCATGCAGTGCAAGGAACACTGCTGAGCACATAGAAAGACAAACAAAGTGAGATAAATTAAGGTTGTTAAATGTTAATATTGTCATTTTTTGTTTGTTTGTTTTTAGCTGTGCCATCCTGCCACTTGTTGGCAGCTCAGCTCGGGCTGGGACTCGAACCGCTGTTGCTCAGAGCTCAAACTCTTGAGCGAGCTCTTAACTAACTGAGCCACTCGGCCGGCCCTTGTCATCTTTTTTAAAATTTACATTTGACAAGTTTTTCTAACCTGTTATTTTGGCCCTTTGCATTATTTTTATTTCAGGATATCTGTTCTATGCAGAAAATTATTCAAATCTGATTTTTTACCCTATTTGATATTCTGTACTTACGGATGCTCTTAATAGTAATTATTATTATTTATTGACATCATTGTCCCACTTTGATTTGAGTTACATTATTTTAAGAATTCTGCTTTTTATTTCTTTGCTCTCTCTTTTTTAAAAAAAATTTTATTGGGGAACAGCCATGGTCATTGGTTACACATTGCTTTCTTGCTACAATAGCATAGTTGATTGTTTTAGGGAGGGCACAGTTCACAGTGGCCCATGTGGGGATTGAACCGGCAACCTTGGTGTTATCGGCACCACGTTCTAACCAAATGAGCTAACCGGTCACCCCCTTTGCACTTGTTTCATATTCTACGCAGACAAGCATAGTGAATAGGTTTCAGGTGACATAGAGTGGCGCCCAGCACAGCTCCTCAAAGGTAGAAACGTCTTTGCTTTCTTATCTATACTGTAGCTGGTAAATGACAGGTACTGGGGACACATTAGAATAAGGGCTCATAGTTCCTAATACTAAGTTTTTTATGTTTAAAATCATGGCTGACTGTCTCCTCTCCCGGGCCCAGAATACATCTTGGGGAGATGACTCTGCTTCATTTTGGGGGTGGGGTTAAGGGGTGAGTGAACAGGACTAAGGCACGACAAAACAGACTGAAACAGGATGGTGGGGGTGGGAGACCCATCACATGCGCAGTACTGCTGGGCCTCCGTGAGATGGGTGCATCACTTCCTTCCGGTTTTAGTAAATACTCTCAGAGCGTTTGTGATTTATACATAAGAGTAGAGGTAAAATAGAACCCTGACTTGTGTTTCATCACGTCACTAATCATCATGTTTCATATTCCATCACATTTCTGTAGCTAAAAATGTATCCTCTGTTGAGAAAGCTCAGAATATCCCACTATCTGGGAAGAAGAAAGAACCAATCTTCTTGCCTCGCGTTACTTTACTTTTCCCAAAGACGGCATCATACTCATCTGATTGGTTTAGACTCCCCGACACTGAGGGGACACACCTAGTACAGGCTGGTCACCCTCTGGCCAAGGACTGCACACAAATGCATGTAGCCCTCTCCTCTCTGCGTGCCCTCTCTCTGCACGTGAGAAGCGTCCATCTGTCATCAGTTAGACACTCTCATTTGTCTGCTAGAGGCCAGAGTGCTCCTGAGATTTGAGTTTGGGTTTAGAGGGAGGGAGAGGCTCTCTTGGATGAAACCACATAATTCAATCCTTTTTGCCAGAGAGCCCTGCTCTGGAGATCCAGGCCCAAGCCAGGAGAGGGACAGGTGCTGTCCTGCTTTCCTGTTGCATTGTCTCTTGTGCTAAGATCTCTGTCAAGGACCACTGAGTGAGGAGGTGTGCTGGACCAAGGCCAAGATCAGGTACTTCCGGGCGTCCTGATAGCACAACCAGATGATGAACTCCAAACTGACCACAAAAGCCTGCCAGTTGAGAGTGGCAGGGCCCAGAGGCTGTCACACAGATATTGTATCCTGATCCAAATATATGTTCTGATTTGAGGTTCATCAAATATGGTCCCTTTAGCTAAGGGACTCAAGATGAGATACCTCTAATTGTAGGAGGAGTGTGAGCAGGGTCTCATGGGAAATAGGGCAGGAGTGGGACTTACACCCTCACCTTCACTTTAGGAACTGGAATCACCCACGTTCAGGGCCCTGAGTCACTCCCCAATCAGTGTCACCCATTGTAGGTCGAGACCTTGTGGTCAAAAGAATTCGCCAAGGAAAGAGTACGGGACGGTTACCTGAGCTGGTTCCAGTTGGTGCTGTGGCCATGGTGTCCCTGAGGGCTCTTTGGCTCTTGTCTATCTACAAGTGACAATGGGTCCTGGGCCAGAAGGGATGCAGCTTCACCTTGTAAAAAAATAAAAATAAAGAAAAGAACAGACCCCACAGTCACTCAAAGAGGCAGTGGCTTCATATAGAGCTGAGACCTAGAGGCTCAGACCTGGGAAGTGGTCATCATGTGTAACCCCTGGGAATTGATGAGACACAGGAGGGAAGAGAGCTGAGGATGGAACCCTGGGAAATGCCAACATTATGTAGGAAATTGAGGCATAAAAAGAATTGAGGCATTAAAGCAGCGGTTCTCAACCTGTGGGTTGCACCCCCTTTGGGGATCGAACAACCCTTTCACAGGGGTCGCCTATGACCATCGGAAAACAAAAAGATATTTACATGATGATTCATAACAGTAGCAAAATTACAGTTCTAAAGTAGCAACGAAAATAATTTTATGGTTGAGGGTCACCACAACATGAGGAACTGTATTCAGGGGTTGCGGCATTAGGAAGGTTGAGAACCGCTGCTTTAAAGGCTCTCGGAGGAAGTTGCCCACGAGGTAGGAGAAACAGACAGAAGAAACTAAAAGTCAATTTCTTCTGATGTCAAGTCTCGTCCCTGTCTGCATTATAATACGATGATGCTCAGAACTTTCTGTATGGACTTCTTAGGTGAAGATGAATGGCTCCAGTTATCAGTTTTTCTCCTTCTGGCAATTATCCAATAGCAACAAAAAATGATACAAGCACCATCTATTAGAAGCTAGGGAAAAGAAACTAAAAGGATATCTCAGGCAGCGGGAGTGAGGAAAAGGGGAAAAGATGCCAGTAATTGCAGATTTCAGGAAAAGTAAGCAATGGCTACAGATTTCAGAAAAAAATGCCCCTCTTCAAGGGGAGGGGCATTCACAAAGTGCAAAGCTAAAATCCATTTTTAAAAATAGAATAAAAAAATAGAACTAAATAAAATAGTAAGAATAATCTGTACAGTTGACCCTGCTGAGTTGGCTCCAAAAAGCAGTAGAGACAGGACTCGGCAAGGAAACACAGTGAGACAAGTCCTGTCTGTAGGAAAAAGTTCATCCTTGAGACAGAGAGGAGAAAGAAACTGCCTCTGAACAGTCTGAAAACTATTTTTTTCAGACCAGTTTTTTTGCCCAGAGAGATAAAGGCTGAAAACTTGAGTAGAAGGCTCCGGACCAGGAAGATCGGCTCTGCTTGCGCAGAGCACAGCCCTGGTTTCTCCTTTATTTATATTTCCCACAAAAAGCTGGTCCATGCAAGAGAGCAACCAACACAAGGTCTACACAAAAAATATTAACAACAACAACAACAAAAAAAAAACCCAACCAACCCAACTGAAAAAATGGGCAAAGGACTTGAAGAAGCATTTCTCCAAAGAAGATACATAAACGACCAATAAGCACGTGAAAAGGTGCGCCACATCACTAATCATTAGGGGAATGCAAATCAAAACCACAATGAGAGGTCACCTCACACCTCTCAGCAAGACTTTACCAAGTAAATAAATAAATAAATAAATAAATAAATAAATAAATAAATAAATAAATAAATAAAATAACAGGCGTTGCTGAGGTTGTGGAGAAATTGAAACCCTTGTGCATTGCTGGCAGGCATAGAAATGGTGCAGCCACTGCCAGCAGTATGGCAGTTACTAAAAAGATTAAAAATAGAACTACCATATGATCCAGCAATTCCACTTCTAGGTATATATCCAAAAGAATTGAAAATAGGATCTAGAACAGATATTTGTCCATCCATGTTTGTAGTAGCATTATTCACCATAGCTAAAAGGTAGAAACAATTCCAATGTCCATTATGGATCAATGGCTACATCAACTGTGGCATATACATGCAATGAAATACTATTCAGCCTTAAGAAAGAATGAAATTCTGACAATGCTACAACATGGATGAACCTTGAAGACATTATACTGTTAAAAAAAATTTAAAGAAGACCATTTAGGTGAGACAAACTTTACAACACTTTATGAAGTGGACAGTCTCCATTTGGAGAACTGCAAAATTAGGTGAGAGGCAAGATACTTTAATAGGGTAAACATCGAAGCACAAAGAAGAGACAAAGAGAACACGGCTCATTACCTGGGACCACACAGTCGACAGCGCTTGGTGTGAGAAGGCCCGGCGTTTGGGGGCTGGCTGACAGAATACACTGTGCTTCTGGCCAAGCAGAGCATTTACAGGAACATGGAAGTTGTCTAATTTCCGGTTTTCTGACACAGCATTTGGGTCAGAGTCAGCTCCATTGTGCCCTGGAAAGTTATTTCAACATAACTGAGTGAGGTAAGCCAGTCACAAAAGACAAATACTGTGTGATTCCTCTTATATTTGGTACCATCCTAAAGGAGTCAGATTCATAGCCGCAGAAAGTAGGAAGGTGGGTACCAGGAGCTGAGGGGCGCGGGCAGTTAGTGTTTAATGGGTGTAGTCTTAGTTCGGGAAGATGAAAAATGTCTGGAGACGCATGGTGGTGATGGTGGCCCAACAATGTGAACGTGCTTGATGCCACACTGCCCTGGACACTTAGAAGTGGCTAAAGTGGTCGGTGTTACGCTATATCTATTTCCCCATATTAAATAAATATATATATCACCAGATAGTAACAACAACAACAAAAACAAATGGCAGACAAACAACAGTCACCTGAAAAGGGTTGCAAAAAGTTGAAGAAAATTGTGAACAACATTTGGCAATGCATTTTTTAAAAGTCAGTGAAGATCGTAAAACAGATCTGAGGGCTCCAGGAAGACATGGCAAGACAGCAGGAGGGCATGAAATGGAAGCTGATGGGAGTGAGGAAAGAAGACGAGAAAAATAAAGCCGGCACAAAAATAAATCCTTACTGGATTTCATACAAGCAGAAAGAGACACTATTTTTAAAAAAAGAAAAAAAAAAGAACCCTAAAGACAGAAATGAAGAAAGTGAGCAAAAAGAAGTGAAAACAAAGTGCTAAAAAAAAATTGGCAAAAATACATGGAATAAAACGCTCCACTGTATGCTAGTTGGAATTCCCAAAGAACAAAATGAAAAATATGAACAGAAGAAAGATTGAAGCAGCACTTACAAAAGCTGTAAGGAGAGCGATCTTCAGAGGATCTGTGAGTGTGCTGTGTGTATGACAATGTTGTCATTTTTAGGTCCCAGGATATTTTTGGCATGCTATTTTGGCATGCGTGTCTGTGGGTTCACCGAGCTGGGTGTGCGCCTCATATAAGCTCTCCCATGGTTTTAGAATTCAGATACCCACGCTGTGGCTTCGCCCAGGTAAGGGTGGTAAGATTTTATAAATAAGAATTTATAAAAAAAAATTGGAGGCAGAGATGTTTGCTGCGGTGCTCCAGGCCAAAGTTGTAAGCAGTAATCTGCCCACTCGAGTGCCGGCAAAGCTCACAGGCTGGAGGGGCTGCTGCTGACTTCACCGGGAGTCTAATGGGCAGAAGCCATGTTCAGGGAAAGCCTCGTTTTCCCCATGGAGTTCCCATGGTACTCACCTGGAAGTGCCTCTGGGGTGATGCTGAACTCACAGGAGGTGATCCCCACTGGTGTTCCACCTGATGGCTGAGCACAGTAGAAACGAGGACACACCAGGACCTCCTCCTGCTGCAATGCGTCCTCCTGTCTTGAGCGGGACTGGCTATCAAAGTAGCAGCCACACACATTTGTGTCTTTCCATAATGTCAGACAATATTTATTAGAATAAAGCCATGGATCTAGTCCTACTGGCTTGGTTTTCCACAGGCATTCACCAAGGCTCCGGCCAGACGCTGGCCTCCAATAGCCGAGGTCGAGTGATTTCACACAAGAGGGTAACACAGTTCTGTAAGCAATAGGGCTAGGCAAGGCGAACAGAGTCTTATGAAAGAAGAATGAGAGAGAGCCCGGTGTTCCATAAAAGTCCCTTCGGCGCTGGGGTGCATAGCGTAGGGGGCCAGGCGGGGCTGGGGAGAAGGTCAGCAGGCGAGGCTTTGAGCTCTCCGTCTGGGACCAGTGCAGATGTGGCTGTCAGCTCGTCCCCTAAGTCCTGAACGATGAGTCATCAGAGAGCTTGGATTTCGTGCTCAAGACTGGGTGTGGTGCCCCCATCTGCAGTCCCATAAAGCCATCCAGATGGCCATGCTCCACCCTGCATCTGGAATTATCTGGTTAGGGCGCTCACTGGGTCCATCTATTACGTGATGCTCTGGCATGACTGTCACTTGGTGACTGACATAGCTACCAGAATTGTTAGAGTCCCATTTGTGTTCATAATTAATGCTCTATATACCCCCACTGACAAAGCTTAACGTGGAGCCAGATGGCAAAGGAGAACCGCCAGGTGAGTCCAGCTCCAAAATCGCCCACCATGCGGGGGATTTGAGGCTGAGGAACAGTGACTTCGTACGTGGCACAGGGACGAGATCTGAATGGTTGTGAATCTGGGTGAAGGCATACGGGAGTTCTTCGTACTAGTCTGGAACTCTTCTGTATGTTTTCAATTTTTTCCTAAGTTTAAAAACTTAAATAAAAGAACCCCTGGAGCTGAAACTGGACAAAATAAGTCTTTGGGGAGGGTGATTATTTTGGACTTTAAAAATTGGATTGGACTCTAAAAGAGAATTTGATTTTGGACTTTGATGCTTTTGGACTTTAAAAGATTTTGAGTTCTCTGGACTTTTAACTCATGATGGCAGCACGATTTGATTTCAGACTGATTTCTTTAAGCTTTGATTTGCAAGGAGATCAAATTTCACTGTTTCTTCCCGGGAAATTTGCAATGGAAGGGAATTTATATGGAATACGGGGATCTTTCTCGCTGGTCTTCTACTAGTGGACTACCTTTATGCTGAATCTTGATCTGATTGCAACATCTCTGAAAGCTGTATGAGACATGGCTTGATATCATTTGGGATGGGGAATGNAATCACTGCAGGTGCCACAAAACCTGAAATTCAAGCGTGGAGGAATTTTAGATTATGTGGAATCAAATTAATAATGAGACACTGATAACGTGCTAAGTGTTTGCAAACTCTTTCCATTTTATATTGAGGTATACCTTATATGTGATAAGTACAGAAATTGAAGCCCTCAGCTCAATAAATGTTGGTATTATGTATATATTTGAGTAATCACCACCAAGACCATGATAGAGAACAGGTTTTCTGTAACACACCCCCTATGTGTGAGTCATGATGAGTGAGTCAATACTCACCCATCCGAGAGGTAACCACTCTTCTGATTAGTTTGCCTATTCTTGAACTTTATGTAAATAGTAATTTGTTTCGCTTCTTTTATTCAATGTAACGTCTGTGAAATTCACTCATGTTGTCGTGGGTAACAGCAGTTTTTTTAAATGATTGCTATGCAGTATTTCATTATATAAATACAGTATCTTTTGTTTATCTATTCTATCAATTGATATGTTCGAGCTGTTTCCAGCCATTCGCTATGATGAACAAATTGACTATAATGATTAAGAAATCATCTTCACAAGATATAGCCACAATGTGTGAGGTCTTTTTGTACAAATTATATGCCCAAGGACATAAGAACACTATTACAAGAACTGCCAAAGGCCCGTTCTGAGCATGCAGGTGGGGTCTGAAACCCATCCCAGAATCCACTTGCCAAGTGGTGAGACTTGGAGACTGGGGATGGAAGGAGCTGTTGTGTCTGTCTGGAGAAAGGGGCACTTTGATGATTGATTGATTGATTCATTGATTGATTGATTGATTGGATGCATAAAGTTGCCATCCATTTGTAGAGCTATGTGTCACAGAGCTCTGTCCACTTGTGGGTGGGCTTTATCAAATAACTCTTAAGGCACCATAGGGCCTGGCATTGGTCCTGATCTAACCTGTATGTTTAAATGATCACTCAGGCTGGAAAACAGGCACCAGGTTTGCAAGAGAGGAAACAGGCAGACCAATTAGGAAGTGATTGCAGTAGTCAAAGCAAGAGGTGACAGCTGCTTGAGCCAGGTGGGTAGAAATGTGAGGAATGGTTGCATTTAAGGAATCCACAGGATTTTCCAGTGCCTGTGAGATGGGAGAGAGCTGAGTTGAGGATGACTTCAGGCTGAGTCAGGTTTGGGGTCTGAAGGACCGTTACCGTGAAGGTTCCATCTACTGAGATGGGAAGGGTGGAAGGTTTCCTGGATGGGTAATAGGGTTCAATTTGGGTAGGTTAAGCTTGAGATATCCAAGTGATGTTGAATAAACAGGCAGTGAATAGATGAGTCTTGTTCTGAGTGGGAGATTAAATTTGGGAGCTGTCAGAGTAAAAAGTAGTTAAAGCCACAAAATTCCATGCGAATCCTAGGGACACAGTAATTAGACAGGCCAAGGGTGGTCCAAGATCCAGCCGTGGCGCGCTCCAACTGGTAAGCCAGGAAGAAGAAAAGACAGCAAGTGACGGACAAAGGGCAGCTGGTTACATACAGGAGAGCTAGCAAAGACATTTTGGAGTCCAGGTCAAATGCTTGTGTGTGATCGCCATGCCTCTGTGATCCTTCTGTCTTTACAGGTTCTGGGTCCTTCCGCTTTCCCTCTTTCTCTGACAAAGCCATCCTGGACTCTGCTTCACCCTCCAGTGCAAACGGCTGGGGTGGAGGAGCTCACCTTGGCAGATTTGAGATGTCTCTGATGTTGCAACGTTCAAAGAGGTGTCTCTGCTCTTTTCTATATTCAGAATGACAGGGTGTCTGGCAGAGAGGAGATGTTTTACCTGCTGGAGAAAACTGACCTCAGAAGTAGTGTAGAGGCCGTGGAGGCAAGTGCATACAAAGGCCCCTCTGACACTTACCAGCTCTGGGATTTCAAGAAACTTCACTCACGGTTTTTTTTTCCTTCTATACTTGTGAAGTAGTGAGTAAAATGCCTCCCTCAACTTATGTTACAGAACACTAATTTCTGCATTTTTCATGATTACGAACAGGATAAAATTCTCTATTAAAAGGAAAGGACTCTCAGCTTGGGTCAGAAAGCACAACCTAGCCGTATACACTTCTTACAAGAGGTACGTCTGAAACACAGTGACTCAGAGAAGCTAAAAATGAAAGGATGAACAGAGTTACAGGTGGCCAGGGAGGTGCTGTGTCTACAAAAGGAAGCCCGAGGGGTCGCTGTGATGGACCCATTCTGTATTTTCATTGTAGAAATAATCACACAGATCTACACGTGTGAAAGATTGCATAGAACTATTTACACACACACACACACACACACACACACACAAGTGTGAGTAANTGTTGTCCAGTAGAACCATGATGCAAACCACATATGTAATTATAAATTTTCTACAGTCACATTATATTGTGTTTAATGTAATATGTCCAAAATGTTATCATTTCAACATGTGATCAATTAAAATTATTAATTAGATGTTTTATATATTTGTTCATACTAAGTCTTTGAAATCTAGTTTGTATTTTACACTTATAGCACATCTTAAACTGGATTTGCCCCATTTCAAATGGTGGCTATTATATTGAACAGTACTGGTCTACATGTTCTTGCTTATCAAAGAGAGGAAGGCTGGTTGTCCACTGTAATTCTGTGTAGCTGAATTTTAACTGTGAATTAAGAATATCTCTCCCTTCCTCTCCCTCCCCCCAACACACATCTTTTTCATTATCTTGAGAGACCAAGAAAGGGTCAAATTGCTTTCCAATAGACTGTCCCCCAGATAGCTACTTCTTTGAATGTAACATTGTGTATTGACTGAAACACAATGACCTTTTGGGTTTCTTTCAAGGGAGTGTGATTTATGGGTGACAACAGCTTGCATTTCCTCACAAATTCATGGGCCATCTGGATCTCATGGTTGGTGAGGGTGGACCTGGATGAACCAGAATGACACGTGCAGGGCCCTTGAGACCACCCACAGCTCGTCAGATGCTAACGGGTGTGGATCAGTGGAGTTTCCCAACCGTCACTGGGTTTGTCCTCCCATCCCCAGCCATCCTGGGATTCAGCTTGATGACAGAGGTCCCTAATTTGCTTCCGGTATGGGAGGACAGGTTATGAGCAGGACTGTGGCCACCTGTTTGCTGCTGTCACAGACCTCAGCATGGGCAGGACAAATTCACTGGCCACTTTGGAAGGCCTGACACTTTGGAAAAGCCTTGAACTTGTGTTGGCTGTGGTATCAAGGGGCATCTGAGAGCTGATAGCTCCATTTTCATTGGGGCATGTGAATATGTGCATCTTCCTCGTCTTAATAAAACCTAGATGACATCCCAGAACTGATAGGTTTCTCAGAACTTCTGGTCTGGCTGACCATGGTGGAGGGGCCCGCACCACCTCAGGGGCACCCATGAAGAACCCCACTCAGCCCAAAAGGGAGAAGAGAACAGTGGTGAAGGTTGGGTTGCCCCAGTTAGCATGAGAGTTAAGGGGCTTTGCTTGGCAAGGAGTGCACAGATTGAGCTAGTGGGAGCTATAAAAACGTGAAGGCAGAATTCCAGATGGTGCAGGAGGTGGTGCTTCAGAGAAAACCAGAGAGCAGCTTGGGGTCAAAGGCATTGCAGGGATGGAGGGAGAGGGCAGGAGGGCTGCTAGGGCTTTGATTCAGGAAGAGGGTCAGGGGCCAGAGATGGGGTGGCGGGGATGGGGGGGGTAGGAAAAATCAGTTTGGGAGCTTCTGTCCTGATGGAAGAGTCTGAGAATGAGAGAAGCAGGCAAAAAGGGAAGCATGAACCTCTCTCGCCCCCTTTGATATTGGCTCAGATGCTTTATTAAGGATTTGAATTTCTGTCAAGAGGATTGTCCCCCAGACTCCCATTTCTGTGAGCAGGCACTGCAGCACGGCAGCCAGGTGGGCTGGCTTGCCTTTAGCTTACACGTATCTCATGGCTGAAGAAACCACAACTCAGAAAGGGGACCAGGCCAACAGCCATCAGAGGTGAGTCTCAAATCTCCATTCTCTGTCATTCTTTTTTTTTCTTCTTCTTCTTCTTCCAGACAGTCCACACAACAAACAAAACTGCACCCTTAATGACTATTTTGTGCTAGGCATTATTATTGAAAACGTTTATTCAGAACTTTAAGGTTAAAACAGGAAAGAGGGCAACAAAAGCTGAAAACGCAGTGGCGTAGGCATGGGATTACAACTGTTTAAAATGCCAAGATCATAAGATTTATAAAGCGAAGGCTGGCAGGCTGTAGTTCAAACTGTTAACAGTGGTTCACCTTCCCCTGCACTTTTAAACCTTTCCGAAATTTCCTATATGTTTTATTATTGTAATGTGTGTGTGTGGGCGGGGAGGCGCGGAAGGGGGAAGACTCCTACTTTATCTTCATGAGGTCATTCTTTATTTTAGGCATCCCACTTTAAGGACTTTATTTTAAGAAAGTAATTCTAACAATAACGCAACAAGATTTTGGCACACGGATAGTCATTTTACCACTACGTATAGTAAGAAATTTGAAATGATCTAAGTGTTTCAGAAAAGGGGAGGGACATCCAGTGTACCATTTGTTGTTTGTCATCTAGCTTCTTTCTCCATCCACAGACCATATAGTTCCCTAGCAACCAAAGGGTAAGTGAAGGCAAGTGACCCAGTCCTGACCAATCAGAGTGGGTCTCTGGGCTCTGCCCCGCCCCTTTCCAGATGGAAGGGGGCGCACCTGAGGGCTGTTGGGGACATATTGCCTGCACGGGGCAGAAGCCTGACTGAGAAATGAAAACACAGAGCCCTGCCTGATGATACCATTTTTATCCTCTGGCTCCAGACTTGAACACCCAAAGCAAGAAAAGCGCAGGAAAGAAATTCTGCACCAAATTACCAACAGTTGGTCACCCTGGTTGGTGCATTGTTTCTTTCCTCTATTTTTTACTTTCCTGAATTTAACAAAAATGTATTTAATGCAATACACTACTTTCAAAATAGCAGCTAACACATACAAACAAAACAAACAAACAAACAACAACAAAAAGCTTGTTTTTAAGATAGCGGAAGTGCGAAGCCTAGAATGTTCCTACACGTTCCGATGTCCTGAGAGGGGTTTCCAAGAACTTGGGTTGTGTGGACAACAGGGCCTCTCTCCTTCATAATGGAATCTGGGAGAAGGTTCTGATGACATCCTTTTCTATGCAAATGAACAAGGATCTTATCCAGCAATTGCTGACCAGGTGGGAGAGGAAGAGAACAGAGAAGCAAGGGAAGGTGAGTTGATACAGAACATACAACATACCCTCATAAAAAAATACTATAAATGAAGCCACTTTAAAATGGACCCGCAGCTGCCATTCCAGAGGTACGCTTTATGCCCTAACCTCTGGAATGTTAAAACAGAGCAAAATGACCTTTGAACTGGACCTAAACACACTTGTACCCTCACAAAACTGTTTACAAAGATAACAAGACAGTTATTATGACTACTGGACTGATGATGAAATTAACATCATTGTTTAGAATTAACACCTCTACATTATGTTATCTGCACCAATAGAAATGCCTATAGATGTACAAGTAATTGGTCCCCTTCCTTTCTCTAAAATACACCTTGCCTTTGGCTCCTAATCAGAACATTATT